TAGATTTGTATATTTCACCTTGTACAGAAAAAAAATCAGTTCAAATTGGCCAAAGACCTTGATTTATAACCAGAAATACAGAAACTTCTAAAAAAAAATATGGGCTGTCATTCAAGATACTGGGGTGAGCAAGATCTTCTTGAATAGAACATCAACAGCATAGGAACTAACCCCAAGTATCAACCATTGAGACTGCATGAAACTAAAAAGTTCTGGACAGCAAAGGGATCTGCAGAGATAAATAATGTGGGAGAAACTGTATAGCAGCCACACTCCAGAATTTACAAAGAGTTTCAGAAATTAAATACCATTAAGGCAAAACTGCCAATCACCAAATGAGCAAAGGAAGTGAATAGAAGGGGGGCGGGATGAAGGGAGGGAAGGAGAGAGAAAGAGAAACACAACTGGACAATAACTGTTTTTTGAAAGTGTTCAATATGCTGAACCATCGGGGAAATGTAAAATAAAACTATGTTGAGATACCCGCTCACCCCAGTCAGGATGGCTCTTATCAACACGTCTGACAAGCAATGTTGGAGGGGGCAGCAGTGGCGCACATCTTTCATCCCAGTACTTGGGAGGCAGAGGCAGGTGGATCTCTGTGAGTTCAAGACCGGCCTGGTCTACAGAGTTCCAAGATAGCCAGGGCTACACAAGGACACCCTGTCTCAAAAAACAAACAGCAACAAAAGAAAGAAACAAAGGAAGGAAGAAAGAAAGAAAGAAAGAAAGAAAGAAAGAAAGGAAGGAAGGAAGGAAGAAAGAAAGAAAGAAATGTAGGGGTGAGCTCACAAAAATGGGCATGGACAGTATTGTGGGCTCACCCCTACAATGAAAGAAAGAAGGGAGGGAGGAAGGGAGGGAGGGAGGAAGGGAGGGAGGGAGGGAGAGAGGTGTGAGGGTAACCAGCTGTGGAATGGATTATATCCAGGAAAAGCTGGAATCACACAGCCCTTGTTTAAAAACGTCCAGGTGTAGCAATCGGGACTCATGCTTGGCTGTGGATACAGATAGATATGGATATACATAACACATAAACATATGTTTATAATGGGCTATTGCACACACACACACACACACACCTCTGCTCACTCCACTATGAAAGACAGATGCAACGGCATGCCAAAACCAAGAAGTACCAGGCCTACGAGTACTTTCTAATACTATTGTCCTATGTAAGGTATCAGGGAGACTTGGAAAAAAATGGCTGAATCTGGGACAAGGGCTAGAAATATACAGGAAAAGCCTTGAGCATCTTATAGGGCTAGAAAGTAAGAAAGTGCTAAAATATACGTAAGTATTACAGGCAACCAGTAGTAATATATATATGGCAGAGGGACACAGAAACCAACTCAAGCCAGGTCTGATGGTATAGATCTACTGCCTTAGTTACTCAGGAGGCTGAGCAGAGAAGTTCAAAGCCACGATGGGCTAAAGAGTGAGTTCAAGGCCAGGCGTTGGTGGTGCATGCCTTTAATCCCAGCGCTCGGGAGGCAGAGGCAGGCAGATCTCTGTGAGTTCACGTCCAGCATGGTCTACAGAGCAAGTGCCAGGATAGGGTACAAAGCTACACAGAGAAACCCTGTCTAGAAAAATAAACAAACAGGGTGAATGCAAGACCGGCTTGGAGAACTTGAAGAGATCCCATATTTAAAATGAAGAGAGATGGGCATACAGCGCAGTGACGGAGTGTGTGCCTGGCGTAAGCAAGACTCTGGGCTCCATCCCTGGTACTACAAGGAGAAAGAGGGAGGGCCGAGGGGTCAGAGGACAGAGGATGGGGTGGGGGTCAGGGTTTGGGGGGAGGGTGAGTGAGCTAGCAAGCAGGGAAGATGGGGCGGGAGGGGTGAGAGGAGAGGAAAGAGAATGGAAGGGGAGAGGGATAGAGAAATGGGAAGGAGAAAAGGAGACAGGGAGGGAAGGGTAGAAAGTGGGGGATGGGGAAAGGGAGGGGAGGGAGAAGAGAAAGAAAAGGGGAACAGAAGAGATGGGAAAAAAGGAGAGAAGCGGAAAAGAGAGGAGGGGAGGAGAGGGAAGGACGACATAATTTCACTGAACTCCAAGCATCGGGCTCTGCCTCTACTGATGCACGTGGGGTTTTATTTATTTTAACTTTGCAAGTAGGCATAAATACATATATAGCTCTAATCAAAACCGTTTGCAAGTCAAAACCTCTTGGGCAGAGTGTTTGCTTTAACTAAGTGGAGCCTCCACTTCTCCCTGCAGTTTCTTCCTGCCAGAAGTGTGTCCAGAGAACCTCCCTGACCAGCAAAAGAGGCAGAAAATTTAGAAACTGGTTGCCATGGAGGACTCTCAACGGGGCCCATGGCTGGCCTGAGGCCACATGTTGTATGAATCTCTCAGATCTCTTATGAATATTGGCTGGTTAGAATATGCAGATGAACTTGGCACTGGTGTCCACAAAGGGAAAAAAAGAAAAAAGTTCAAAGGGAGAATTGCACAAGGAAAAGAGCCACAAGCAAAGAGGTCTGGCAGGTGAGCCGGATGACAGGGTGAGTCTATGGGAGTCATTGCTGGGTTTTGCATGCCTGGAGCAGAGATTCAAAGGACTGAAAACCAGGCAAATGCAGAGAGCTCTTCTAGGGGCTAGGGAGGGATGCTATGATTCAGCCCAGCATTCCTGAGCTAGCAAGTTCCAGATTGGCCCAGCCCCTCTGAAACAAGAGTCTCCCCAGCATTCAGAGCCTAGGACTTTCCTGTCACACGGCGTGACACAGCACTCTCTAGCCTCTTCTTATCCCTTTCCAACATGTTCAGGTCTCAATCACAGACTATGAAAAGCTCAGACGGAGTTCCTACCAAATCTTAGCTCGGCATTTTCAAATGTGCAGTGCTTGGTTTTCTGGCCCGCTGTCACTTTCTGTACTGAGATTGTCCTCTCCCCTTGCTTGGTCAAGACTACATCTTTTCCATTCCTTTGCGCTCTCCTTCTCTCTCTCTCTCTCTCTCTCTCTCTCTCTCTCTCTCTCTCTCTCTCTCTCTCTCTCTCTCTCTCTGAAGTCTTTATGAAGCATGAGATGCGTGGTGTGCTGATAATTCCATTAATGATTCCGACCCAAAGGTAAGTCTTTGTCATTTCTTCTTCTTCTTCTTCTTCTTCTTCTTCTTCTTCTTCTTCTTCTTCTTCTTCTTCTTCTTCTTCTTCTTTTTTTTTTTTTTTTGGTTTTACGAGACAGAGTTTCTCTGTGTTGTTTTGGAGGCTGTGGATCCAGCCTGGCCTCGAACTCACAGAGATCCGCCTGCCTCTGCCTCCCGAGTGCTGGGATTAAAGGCGTGCGCCACCACTGCCCGGCGCCATTTCTTCTTTTGATGGCCCCTTATCATCACTCACACCATGCCATCTCGGTAACGTTCTTCTGACATGGCCTTTCTGTCACTGCTTTACCCCGGTGATGGCTCTCTTATCAGGACACCCTTCTCATTCACCCAACACTTAGAATGTCCTGTCATCCACCATTGCTTAGGCAGATGTGCATCTACATCTCCTTAAGGGATGTTAAGCGCGCTAGGATTGCAGGCTTGCTTGCTTTTGAAAATCCCCTCGAGAGGTTCAGACCACATTTTTCTGGTTTAACTTGACTGACAAGGCTGCATAGCTGAGAAAGCAAGGATAGATCAATGGTTCTTTTGAAGCAGACAAATTCACGCATCCCCCGAGTTGTACAACCTCCAGATGTCATGTCCACAAATCTCTGTCCCAAAGTCATAGCAAAGAGCCCAGGCTGATAGAGCTTATTGCCCTGTGCCTATGTGCTACCATCAATGTACCAGCTAATACTTTTGGTGGTTTGTAGAATCATGAAGGATAAAGTTTTCTGTATTGCCACATAGAGAGAAGAGATTGTATTTCCTAGAGGTTGCATAAAAAACAGGGGTAGGTATCTCCTTGTGTGAAAATCAGAAATGGTGGTCATACAGCCATTCAACACACACCTATCTGGCACTGCTAAGCACTTCGGAACTGTGTTCATCACTGGGGATATGATGATAAAGACATGTATGTTCTCTTTTTTGCGTGGGAGTCAGAATACATAGGTGAGTGACTAAATTAAACAATTTTGCAGTACAGTAAGAACAGGAAAAGACTTAAGTCTAGCTTATAAGTATGCATTGTTTCCTTTGCTGTTGCTGTGATAAAGTACCAAGAGCAAAGCACGTTAGAGAAGAAAGAGCTCATTTGGGCTTACGGTTCCAGGGGGAGAGTCCATCATGACAGGGTAACCATAGCAACGGGAGGCCAAGGCAGGAAGCTGACAGATGCCATCTTCAGGCATACACATGAAGCAGAGAACAAAGCGGAAGTAGAGTGAGGCTACATACTCTCAAAGCCTGCCCCCAGCGGCACGCCGCCTCACCTCCTAAACTAGCTGTACCACTAGCTGAGGACCAAGTGATCCCAGGACTGATCCTGTGGGAGACACTTCCTATTCAAACCACCCCACAGTGGGAGAAGAGGCTCCGGCTTAGAAAGGCATCTCCCAGGAAGAGTCACGTTCCAAAGCTGACGGGCACAGGACCACCCATGGCAGGTACACACATGCTCCCTCGCATCTGACTTGGAGACCTGAGTGGGTCATCTAGTCAGAGACGGCATCTGGAGCCAGCCAGCCTGGGTCTTCAAAGGAAGACAGGGACATACGGTAAAAGGTTGGTGTGGGAGTGACTGTGTGGAGGGTGACTAGGGAAAGGAATGTATACCTGGGGGATGACAAGAGGCAGGGGATGATGGCAGAGGAGGCAGAACGCACGTGACAAACTCTTTTCCTGGGAGTGTGGCGGCCACGTCCCGGAGACCCGTGTTTTTACCTGGCACCCAGGATACTGGTCCCAGAAGATGAAGGACATGGGACCTATGCCCTCTTCCTTTCACAGGTGAGCTAAATAACATATGGCCGTGCCTTTGGAAGCCCCACCCAGATGTTGCAAGAAGCCTTATGATGCAAGCATTATCAAAGATGGGAGCTGGGTCATTCACCTCGGGTGTCCTTTCTCCCTAACTTCATTATTTTCCCTCCAGGGTGCAGCTAAGATATACAGATGCAAGTGGGCAGCACTGAGCGAATGCCTAGGTTGCCCTCCACTCCCAGCATCTCCCGCTCCCAAAGGAGGCAGCATATATCGGGCACTCCCCTTGGAACGCTGGAATAGTAAGGCTTTGTTTTTCTGGAGGTTCTGAAATCAGTCGCCACACTTACTCATCCAATACCCAAAGGCTGATTTCTCCTTCACTGTGGAATTTGGGGGCCTAAAGGAGAAAGGATGGCAGAATAGCAGAAAGGAAGCTAGCACTGGCCAACATGCATTCCCAAGCCTGTCTGCCTACCTGACACCCCTCCTCCCCAAAGAGGAGCACACTGGCTTGGAGGGATGGAGAAATTCAGCCTCCTACACCTGAGTAGAAGCCTGAACCAGCCCTTAACTGGTGCTGACAAGGGTGAAACCTGCAGATTTCATCTGCTTCCCCAGTGGTCAAGCCACAAGCAGGCTGGAGAGATGACTCTCTGTAAAAGGAAGTCCAAGGAGGAAGAAGGAGAAGACCAGATGCAAGGTCTGGGTCAAGCCTCAGCAGAATCTGGCTTCCCTGTGGGGGAAAGGAGGGGTTAGCCTCATGCACAAATCTGCAAAGAGGCCATTGGTCTCTTTCCTGGTATGGCAGAAAACAAATTGCATGTCTTCATTCATTCACTTACCCACTCACTCGTATTCATTCACTCAACTCAAGCCCAGAGCAGGGAGAAGCAATATAATTAGGACCTTCAGCTGAGAAACAGAAGGTGCGTTCTTGGGGAGTTGCATTCTTGGGGAGTTCATGTACGCAGCAGGACGAATGACTCATTCAAGGTCAGAGAAGGAGGCAGCAGCAACCTGTAAGCGCTAGGGCAGCTCAACTGATAGTAGGGTCACTCTGCCACCCTGCTTCTCTAGAGGTAGGAAATGGCAGCATTCAGTTCAACCTGATGATCCTGAGCTAACGTAGCTAGCCCAGAAAGCTGGAGTCAGCTTGAATGGTCACACTGCAGGTCTACCTGGGGTGAGGAATCAGCCCCTGGCCTTTTGGCAAAAGTCAGCTGCTGTGTAGATGCCCCATAGGAACAATGAGCCCCAGGTTGATGAGGTACTTCCTGCCCAACCCTGGACTCCATGCCCAGCACTGACGATAACCCTCTCCAAATTCATCAACATCAAACATTCTGATGCCTGGAGGCTGCACACCAACAGATCTACATGATAGTCTGTCACATGATGGGTCACATGATGGGTGAGGCCTTCAATTTGAAGATGAGGAAGAGGGTATGAAGGACTGATTCCCTCTACTCACAGACCACTGTCTGAGCCCCCACAGATGGCTGGCAGTGCCCTGGCTGTGAAGCTTCCAGGAGAGGAACACAGATTATCTAGGGGCTCAGGACATGCCAGGGCCTAGCGGACACTTGTTTTCTTTCCCTGGAAGCTAAGTATATGATGTATCCAATGGTTTCAGCTGGCACAGAAGCTAGGGCACCTGTTGCAGTAATAACACCTAGTGTCCTTGAGTAGCCATGGGGGATGTAGGTCACCCAACAGCAGGCTTAAACAGAAGTCTTGTTTTCAATTCGGTTATTGCCCTTGGGAAGACAAGAGCCCCACAATAAGCATGCCAGGTGGAGAGCTGTATTCAAAGACAAGATATTCTTCAGGCTAATCCCATCTCAACAGAGGAGAATGCAAACGCCACTTAAGCCATGGCATGGAAGGACTGCTGTGGAGCTTAAGTGCTCAGGTCTGAGATCTTGAGTGTGAGCATGTGGAAGAGATGCTCGCACATCTGCATTGACTACAGCATCATTCCCAGCAGCTGGGTTATAGGAACAACCCAGGCGTCCCACAACGGAGTAATGACTAAGGAGAAGGAGGTGCATCTCCACAATGACCTTCTTTTACAGCCGCGAAGAATGGAGTTCTATCATTTGCAGGAAAATGGCTACAACTGGAGAGAGTATTTTTCACAGGTCAGGTCAGTCTCAGCAAGACAATACCACATGTTTTGTCTCATTCGCGTGTCTTAGACATTGTAGACACCTAAAATCATGTGTGTATAGATTACATGAAGGTAGAAGCTGGTCTGGGAACAAGGGAGACTCATGGGAGGGGGGGAAAAGGAAGGGTATTGAAAGGGACTTATACACAAAGAGCTACACACTCAATGGAAATTGACCTCATGTACTCTGTGTAAGACTATGACAAGCTACAAGCTGGAGGGTAGAGCCTGTCCACCCCCTCCAAGCTCCCCCAAACTGAGGAAGATAGAGTCTACATGAGCTACACAAAGATGGTGTGCAAGGAGGGAGGAGGAGAGAAAAGGAAACTAAAATGAATATTTATGATCCCCAAACACACCCATGGGGAAGCTGCTTCTACCTAGACCAGTGATTCTCAACCTCGAGGAGGGGTCAAATGACAGAGCTGCCTAAGACCATCAGAAAGCACAGATATCTGTGTTACAATTCATAACAGTAGAAAATTACAGTCAATGAGGTAGCAATGAAGATAAGTTTATGGTTGGGGTCATCACAGCATGAGGAACTGTATTAAAGAGTCGCAGCATTGGGAAGGTTGAGGAGCACTGCCTAGACCTCCATCTGGCCCCACTTTTGCATCTAGCTCCTTCCTGCCTCTCCATTATCTTCCCAAAGGGAAGGTTATCTTCCTGGAGAAGCCAAGAGGTTCCCACTCCGATGGTACCTCCTAAGCCTGTAGCTGGGTGAGTCTAAGAGAAGAGATTCTACAGAGTATGAAAACCCCAAAGAGCCCTGCTCCTGACCACTCTCTCTACCTTGTCCTTAGAACTGACCGGCAGTCAAGAGTCCTGAGCTCAGCTTTCTCCGGGGGAGCAACTGCTGCCATCAGAAGCTGGAAGGACCCAACATTGGGTCTCAGAAGCATCTTATTCTGCACATAAAAACTTCCCCTTGAACGTGATTGTCCCAGGAACCAGACTGGAAATGTAGTGAGGACAGAGAGCTGAAGTCACCCCCTCTACCCCTTGGACCCACACCAGTCAGATCCTGTAATCCTGCCCTGATAAGTAGCAATCTAACTCTGGAGTTCCACCTGTCTGATGCCAGAGCCCATCCCTCAGGTAACGTAGTGAGGCCGAGGTCTCCTACAGCCCTTCAACAGTAACCGTCTATTTTGGTTTCTCCCCACCCCACCCCAGCCCCAGTAGCATGGAACTTTCACAGTCTCTAGCTTTACTCTACTTTGGTAGCTCTAGTCTTGCAGGTGCCACAGCACCTAGTGGGTGCTTACTGGATGCCGACAGAGCACATGGATAAACACCTATGTAAGGAGGTACTGTACCAAGCACAGGATGGACTATCCTGGATCCTTTCACACCCGAGGACTGAGATGGTCTAGTTAATAGTCAACTTGATGCTGTTCACAGTCAACCTAGGAGACACACCTCTGAGTACATCTATGAGAGTGATTTCAGAGATTAGCTGAATGCTGTTTAACCGTCTCTTGAGCAGGAATACCATATCAAACAGAAGGAGACATCCATGGGCCAGCAAGATGGTATGTATTGCTGAGACTGGTGACCTGAGTCAATCCCTGGACCCCACAGGGTACAAGGAGAGAGCCAACTCTTGAAAGCTATCCTCTGACCTCCATGTGCTTCCCACACCCCTGTAAACAAACAAACAAATGTGGTGATATATTGTTTGTGACCTAATAAAGCCACTGAAGAGCAGAATGCAAAACTGGCCACAACCACAGAAGCTGGACAGTGGTGGCATATACCTTTATTCCCAGGATTCAGGAGACAGGGGCAGATGGACAGGGGCAGAGTTCAAGGCCACCTAGGACTACACAAGAGTGAATCAGTTTAAAAGAGAAACAGAATTCATGCCTTTAATCCCAGCACTAGAGAGGTATAGAATATAGGAGCAGGGCATTCAATATTCAATCACTGGGCAATTAGTCTCTAGCCATGTTGAGGACAGGATCCCCCTTCCATCCTTGGTAGAGGTAAGAGCTCTCTGGTGGCTTGGCTGCTTTGCTTCTCTGGTCTTCAGCTTGAACCCCAATATCTGTCTCTGGGTTTATATTATTGGTGTGGCAAATAAATAAAGGCAGGCGTAAACTTCTTAAAGGAGAAAGAAGGTGAGCACAGACGTTCATCTCTCTCTCTCTCTCTCTCTCTCTCTCTCTCTCTCTGTCTCTCTCTCTCTCTCTCTCCTTCTTAATTGCAGTCTACCTCATGTTCCCGCCACCATCATCAACGCTATCCTGAACTGAACTGTGAGACAAAATAAACTCTTAGCTAGGGCTTCCACTGCTATGAAATGCCATGATCAAAAAGACAATTTGGGGAAGAAAGGGTTTATTTGGCTTACCTATCCTTGGTCACAGACCACTGAGGGAGGCCAAGGCAGGAGCTGAAGCAGAGACCATGGAAGATCGCTGCTTCCTGGCTTGCTCACCATAGCTTGCTCAACCGGCTTTCTTATACAACTCAGTCCACCTTCCCAGGGGAGGGCCCCACCCACCCACCTTCCCGGGGGAGGAGCCCACCCACAATAAGCTGGGCCCTCCCACACCAATCATTAATCAAGACAATTACCCACAGGCCAATCTGGTGGGGGCATTTTCTCATTTGGAGTTTCCGGCTTCTCAAATACCACTAGCTTGTGTCAGGTTGACAAAAGAACTAACTAGGAAACCCTCCTAAAGTTGTTGTCACAGCAACAGCACAGAGAAGTAATACAGGATGGTAGGAAAGTCTGTGCTGCAGCTGGAGGAACGGACGGAGTTGGCGCCACAGAAACACGAAGATGAGGACCAGCAGAGGCAGCCTCTGAGGAACTGAAGGTTCACAGTTTCACCATTTGAAACCACACCGGCAGTTTTACACTCCACACAGCAGCTATTTCAGATGCAAAGGTCAAGAAGAAACAGGATTTCTAAATAGACTTGCAAGTAAAGAGTTTTACATAGGGGGAAAAAGTTGCGAAAGAAAGCCAGGACCAGCTGGCTTCATGGATGAACGCTGTCAAACATTTAAATAAGGATTAACACTAATCTTTCTTAAGCCCTTCGGAAAAATAAAAGAACACTTCATCACTCATTTTATGAGGCTAATATTACACAGATAGAAAACAAGACAAGGGTTTCAGGGGAAAGGAAAATTGCAGACCAACAATCCTCTGATACAGATGCTAAAACCCTCAACAACATGCCGGCAGAACAAATTCATGGATACATAAAAAGATCAGACACCAGAGGCCAATGAGATTCATCCCAGGCATACATAAGTGGCTTAACATATGAAACCAATGTGACAGACTATCAAATGAAGGATACAACTTCAGGGTCATCTCTATATTGATCAATATGGGAAAAGTAACTAACCAATCAATCATTATAACCAGCTAGGAATTAAAAAAAGATTTTATTGATGTGACACCTGGAATGTCCAAAAAAAGAAAATCCTCAATGAGCATTGCATTGAGTAGGTGGAAGGCAGATGGCTTCTGGTCAGTAATAAAGCAAGGGTACACTCTCATCACCTTTGCTCACCGCTATGCCGAAGGACATCATCAAAGCATCAAGAACATTAAAGAAAGCCATCAGATTGGGAAGCTATTTGAAGACAACACAGAAACGCCTAGTGGTAGTGAGAGTGAGGAGAAGTTGGAACCCTCGTGAACTTCCTAGGTGGGATAGAAAGTGGTGCACACCCTTGGGAAACAGGGAGTAATCCTCACGTGGGCAGACACCGAGTTGCCAAATCATACTCAAACTAAAAACACACATTCGCATACTTGCAAAGTATTCAACACAAATGTTCATAGCAGCATTGATCATTGTAATCAAAAGACAGAACCCACACATCCGTCAACAGATGAGTGGGTGGATAAAATATGGCACTATATAGATATACCATGGCACTATATTATATAGCCATAGAAAAGAGTGCAGTATTGAATGAATTTTACAAATATTATGCTAAATAAGTAAGTCAAATACAAAGGCTACCAGTGATATGATTCCGTTTGTATGAAACATTCAGATTAACCCATAGAGTCAGGAAGTAGATTTAGTGGTGCTGCAGACTGGAAGATGTGGGCATTGAGAAGCGACTCCTCATGGATATGAATTGGGGCATGGCAAAAATATTTTAGAATTGGGTAATGTTGATCAATGCATAACTTTTGTAAATATTCAAACAATCAAAAACCCCATACGTTTTAAAGATGTGAACCTCATAGGATGCTCATACTGTCTTAGAATAACTGCAGCTTAAGATATGGAGGGTAGTCAACAGAACACATTTGTAAGATACAATAATGCAGTGCAACCAGAGACAATAATTAAAAGAAGCCAAGAAGGAGCCGCTCTTGTGCAATGAGGAGAGCCTATGTATGTAAGAGATGACCATATCTATATTCTGAAGTTCCACCCTTCCCAACTTGAGAATAAAAGTACCTTCAGAAAAATATTATGTGATATTTTGTCAACTCAACACAGCACAGAATGACCTGAGGAGAGTGTTTCAATGAGGGATTATCAACATTGGGTTGATCCACAGTCCCATATGTGGTAAATTATTAAGGTTAATTTGTGTGGGAAAACTTGTGGTGCCCACAATGGGTGGCACCATTCCCTAGGCAGAGCTGAGTAAGAGTGGGGACATCAAGCTGAACTGAGGCAAGCAAGTACGCATGCACGCGTTTCTGTGGATGTGATGTGACCAACTCCTTGAAGTTCCTGCCTTGACTGCTCTGCAATGATTGAACTTATAACTGAACTAACCTCTTTCTCCTTTCAGCTGCTTTTTGTCAAGGTCACCTTATAGTGGCAACTGGAACAGAGTCATCTCACAGCTACCTGAAGCCCCAAAAGGACAGTATAGTGCCAAAATCAACAACACATTCTAAATGGTTGGACTATTATGCTTAATGGCAAATGTTCTAGAGATTTCTATCACAAGTCAGGGAACCAAGAAGTGACCATCTGTCCTGCTGTCTCAGTCATCTAATTCGGTGTTAAAGCATACTTCCTGGCGGGCACCAGATTTCAAGTTAGTCACTGATTACATTTCTAGCTCACGGTATGGCTTGTAGCCAGTCATTCAAAACTCACCTATAAAATGAAAGGGTGGGGCAATGCCCTTTCCTGATTAAGACTTATGACTTGGTCCAACCCAGGCAATCCAGAGTAAATGAGGCATGAAAGCATCTCTCTGTGTGTCCCTAAACGGTTTATATTTCTTTTAATGGCCACAGACTCAAAGTCAGAAATAATGGGTCATGTCATCATTAAATGATACGTATTTCACACCTCCAACCTAAGGGAACAGCATGCTGAATTCGTGTAACAGTAGGGCATACAAAAGGGAGAGAGGAGGATGCCACATCCTTAAGTATTTGCACAAATGTCTCCACTTAAAATTGTTTTTAGTTTTGATCATGTTAAAGACTTACTTACTTGTATGCATACGTGTATGAGTACATGTGTGCAAGTGTGTGTACACACAGAGGTGTACACCTGTAGAGGCCTGAAGAGACTATCCAGTGTTCTTTTCAATCATAATCTGCTTATTCTTCTTGAGGGCGTCTCTGCCTGAGCCTGCGGATGGAATCTGGGACTTGTGTTCTCTCTGAGCAGAGCGCTATCACGCCCCTGACGTCCTGCACTCTCTGTTCCCCGTGAACTAAAGTTACAGGCATGCGTGGGACACTTGACCTGTTTATGTGGGTGCTGGGTTCTCATGACTCTGTAGCATTTCATTCGTGACTGCTGAGCAATCACTCCAGGCCCAGGCCCCCATTTTTTTTTTAAAGAGGGGCCTTCCTTTGCAAGCTGGAAAGTCTTTCTACCTGGCTCGCCCTTTCTTTTTCTATAGTCCTAGTAGATGATATTGTTTACTAATTTGTCATAGTTTTTATTATTATCACCAGTGTTGTTGTTATTATTATTATTTTGCCAGTGTGAGAAGATTACTCTGACTTGTCTGTATACCTAGCACTATGTTTGGCTCAAGCTGGACACTATGAATTTGTTGAAATAATCGAGTAAGTGAAGCATAGGCACTACTTATTTTGCTGTTCCTTTAAAATACTTTAAAAGTATTTTGCTGGGTGGTGGTGGCGCACGCCTTTAATCCCAGCACTCGGGAGGCAGAGGCAGGTGGATCTCTGTGAGTTCGAGGCCGGCTGGACCGATAGCCTCCAAAACAATACAGAGAAACCCTGTCTCGTAAAAACCAAAAAAAAAAAAAAAAAAAACAACCCCCCAAAAAACTATAAAAAGGCAGTATTTTTGCTGAAATTTATGATACCACATGTCAGCATGTGTATAAATAAATAAGTGTAAAATATATATCGATCAGACCCTCTATCTCCATGATGCTTAAATTCAACAGCTATAACGGTGATTTATACAGCATTTCCATTACATTAGCCACTAGACATCATCAAGAGAAGACCTAAAGATCGCCAAAGGACGTGCAAGGATTGGGTGTAAATACCATGGTATTTTATATAAGGAATATGATACTTTTGTACCCACAGTAGGGATGGAGGACTATGTAGCAAAGTGACAAAAATGTGAGTCCACCTCATCTGAGCCTGTTGCATAGGTGCACACTGGTGGGTGTGTGCATGTGTGCCTCTGTGCGTGTGTATGTCTGTGCGTTGGGGGTGTACATTTGCCTGATTATGAGCATGTGAAGGCCAGAGACAACTTCCTCTGTGCACGTCACTTTAGTTTTGGAAGCTTTCTTCACTAAGCCTGAAGTTCACCGTTTTGGCTCGAATGGCTGGTCAGCAATCCCCTGCCATCTGCCCGCCTCCACTCCTCCACTGCTGGGGTTACTGGCTTGCACCACCAGTAACTTTTGTGTGGGTTCTGGGGGCCCGAACCCAAGACTTCAGGATTATGCAGCAGGCACTTTACCCGCTGAGCACTCTCCCAACCCCGAACTGTACCATCTGTTGGCCTCGCTTTCTCTACTTATTAAAAAGAGCACAGGATGGCACTGATCTCACATTATTGCTGTATGAGCACTTAGATTAAGAGAATG